CCAATTAAGTATCTCTAATGAATTACTTAATTTATATATATGTATATATATATATATATATATATATATATATATATATATTTGTTCTCACAATGAATAGCAGGCTTTCTTTGAGCTGTCCTCCCCAATTTTTTTTCTGGTTGATCTTGGGGCCTATGTTCTAGTGCTTAGTCTACATCTGCAGTTAAGCTTTCTTGCTGATTAACTGGAAATGGAGTCTCAAACACTGTTCTGTTCACCCTAATTTTGAACCTTGATCCTCAGAGGTTAGCCTCCTGAGTAAGTAGGGTCATAGGCATGAGGCACAAGTGCCTGGCTGCCCAGTCTCCTAGAAACTGAAACCCCACAGAAAAAGACATGGTAAAAAAAAAAAAGTGCCAGAGAAAGACAATTTATTACAAGATCCAGGTATGCCCTAGGAAGACAGAAGTTCAATATCTTTTCAGCCACCTTTAAGGTACAGATGTGAGCTATAATATTAAATGGAATTTTGGAAGGGAAAAAGAGGCATGGATATGTTCTTGTCAAAGTATAGCCTGGTTTGTTAGTACTTGGAGAGGGTTGTCTTCACTGATCAGAATGAGTAAGTCCTTGTTTCCTTCTTGCCTGGTTGGTGATCTTTCCTGAGAGGCACTAATATTCCTAGGGGATCATTTCTGGTCCCTTATCATAAAGATATGATCAACCATTCCTGCCTGTCCCTGATTCCAAGCTGATTACAAAGTCACTTCAGGGATAATAGCTCAGAGCAGACCCATACAAAATGCAAGCAGCGATGTCCAGATTTTCTCCTGCTTTTCTCTCTTACAGATCTCCTTTGGGCCCAGAAATTCTCTGAATCATTGCTCTGTGCATTCCCCATCCACTCTGGGACTTCCCACATGGATCAAATGGGTCTCTCTGTAAATCGGGGTGTGCTGCAGAGCAAAGGAGCAAGAAACTGAAACTGCAGGCCTGCCATGTCTGTCACTGCTACGGGGTCGAGATTTGTGATGAGTTAGACCCAGTGTTGGGAGACTCCATACTGCATTCTCCAATGGCTCTGGTTAGCGAAGAGATGATTCTATTGGCACCTTTTCTATTTGTAGCTATTCATAATTCCAATTTGTAATAGAAGACCCCCATTCCCCCCTCACACACATATGAAATTAATTCCTTGGACTTAAGGTTCTTCTTTGAGATGATTTCCCTCTCGAGTCTGCTCTGATTTACTTTTCAAAGTTCAAATTTAGGGACACTGAGAATCATTCATGCACACACCTATCTTGATACACTGGCATTGGATGTACTGAACAGCTCTCCCTCAGTGTTCCAGGTACCCTCTACTCAGGTTTGACCTGGAAAGGGTATTGCCTGCCACGACAAATTAGGGGTCTACAGACTGTGCAGAAATGCTTCTCCTGAAATGCATTCTTCACCTCTCAAAGTCAGAGTGGGTCAATGTCATGCCAGTTAATATGCCCTCCAAATAGAAACACCTCCTGGGATGTAGGACACCATGAAGATCTGAATCTGTGGTCTGTTTGTGGAGTATAGTGAATGACTACTTATATGAATAGCAGAAAATCAAATGTTTACAGACTGAGGTGGGGCAAGTTTAGTTGCTGTAAACAGGGAATGTTACACTTGAATATTGATATTACAATTCTTTTCCTCCTGTAGTGTGGACATTGTGCTTTAAGTCTTCCACTTCTAGTGGTAATAAGATATCTTCCTACCTGCTATGAAATAGGAACCCTTGCAGGAGACAAAGTGGGCTTCATCCTGAAGTGCCTGTCCACCCTGCACAGAGCAAGTGTTCATTTCACTTTCACTGTACTTGGTGCTACCCTGTCATGGTACAGGAAATCCTGGGCCCAGAGGTTCTAGTTTCTCACAGAACTTTCAAGCAATGTCTGATGATTGGGTGCCTTTGTTTTTTTCCATCTTGGGACTAGAATTTAGCACCTGGGTGCTGTCCTTGAGCTCTTTTGTCCAAGGGAACCACTGTTCTAGTTTTTGAGGGGCTAATTGGAGGTAAGAGTCTCAGGGAGACTTCTGTCCAGGCCGGCTTTGAACCCTGATCCTCAGATCTCAGCCTCTTCAGTAGCCAGGATTACAGGAATGAGCCTTTGACACCCCAGCTTTGAGTGTCTAAAAAAGAACCAAACACAGCCAAAATGGCAGAGTAGAAGCCCCGGTGTTCAATCTTACGCAGGAAATATCCATTACACTGAGTGTCAGGGGTAGTGGTGAGAATCCACACATCATGGTTTTGGCAAGGAGATCAGGTTGGTAACCAGGGATAGATTAGAACCTTCAGCAAGGCACTACACCAAACTCATGAGGAAGGACAATCTCTTTCCCAGAGTGACCACATTGTAATAATCAATGTTCACTTCTCAAAAAAGTATAAAGCCTGGAGAGGAAAGTACAGCTCATGCACAGGAATCAAGGTTTTGACAAAAGCTGTCCACAAGGAAGCCCAGACATTGGGATTAGTACTCAGAGAAAAAAATCATGTTTAGTAATTCTCAGTGACTTGAAGGAAACCAGAGACCAAGCAATTCTAGGGACCAATAGAGAACATGTGAGCAATGTAGAGACTGAAATGATCAACAGAAACCACATATTCTGGATGCAAGATAAGAAATACAATGAAAATTTCACTAGGGAAATTCAGCCGCAGACATGTGGGGGGAAAGCATCATTAAGATTACGCATGCTGAGAGTGCTGCCTCCCTGCTTCCATGTGTGTGTGTGTGTGTGTGTGTGTGTGTGTGTGTGTGTGTGTGTGATTACGCATGCTGAGAGTGCTGCCTCCCTGCTTCCGTGTGTGTGTGTGTGTGTGTGTGTGTGTGTGTGTGTAATCTCGTAGGCCAGATATCCCAGGGGACCTAAGGTGACCTGACTGCTTTTGTGTCACTATGGCCTTGTGGTCTCATCTAGTGCTTTATCCCTGTCCTGTAGGCAGCACTGGCCCCAGCTTCTGAGTTCAAACTGTAAGGGAACCCCAACCCCTTCTGGGCCTGATGGGTAGCAGGTCTCTAGATTTGTCTTCTCCTACTCATCCAGAGGAGAGTACATTCTGGATGCTGGTGACAGGTATGTATATGGTTCTTGAGAGCCGTACAAGTAACCACCTGAAAACTGGAAGTGGAGTTGTTGCTCGATGTGGTAGAGCACTACCCTGAAGCAAGAAAACTCAGAGACAGCGCCTAGGCCCTGCGTTCAAACCCTATGACCTACCAAAAAAAAAAAAAAAACCGGCAGGGAATACACTCTACAAACACATCAACCACAACCCTTCAGAAATGTGAGAAATGGGCTCAAGGAATGCCCCATCTTCTGAAGGAGTAGATGACCAGGGGGCAAGTAATAAACTATGTTGATTCTAATTAAATTGTCTCTCTGAAGGATCTGAGTAGTTGGCAGAAAGAAGATCTGGATTCTGTACCTTCAACAAAGGTGATTCTTCAATTGGTGCTCAAAAACAGTCAAATATTTAAAAGAAGTCATCTGGATCCTTACTAAGGCCAAGTGCCAAGACCAGCACAAATAAAATGTACTTTGACCATATTCACCAACAATCACCATCTCCATTGTCCCTCCCTCTAACACTCAGCTCCCAATAGAAACTTTTACTTGCTTCTCATGAATTCTTTAGTGGATATTCATTGCACAAAAAGTTTCACCATGGTATTTCACACATAATAATAACTGAGTCTGGTTGACCTCATCTACTGCTCTCTTTCCCTAGGTTCTCTATGGACCCTTGTGGTTCAATAGCTTTCAGTGAGATTCCTGGTGCCATCTTCACACAAGCATAATATATTTTAAAACTTTTCCCCCATCCTTCTCTGTTGTTTGGCAAAACAACACCAATGTCACAATCATGTTTTATATATCACTGTGTGTGTGAGTGCATGCACATGTGCTCATTTGTATGTCTTTTAGGTCTAGAATTCACAAATGAATGAGAACATATCATTTGGCATTCTGATGTCGGCTTATCTCTAATTCCATCTATTTTTCTGGGGGAAAAAAGCTACAATTTTTTCATCATCTAAAGGCATTCTTTGTAAGAATTTTATTTTAGAAATTTTACTACCTATGTTGATAACTGGAAGCATAAAAGAAAATCTCCAGTACTCTGGAGATATTTGAACTTGGAGTAACATAGCATGTACAGGTAGGAGTGTAACTTAAAACAACAAATGATAGAATATTTTGGTTAGTTGAATTCACAAAGATTTAAGACAGATTACTTTCATATTTAACAGTGATGCAGAGAAAAGCACTGGTGTTTACTGCTGATGACACTGAAAAATTCATCTAGCTCTGCCTTAACACACATACTTTGGGAAGTCTATCACATCAAGAAAAAAAGTTATAAAATAAACTTTAACCAACTCTGTAAGGCAATGAGCAAAAGTAGTCCAAATGCCAACAGAACAATAGCTGTGTACATTACATAAGGTATATCCATAGTACATGAGTCAAAAATACAGAAAGAAATAAACATGTTGGAAGGAATGTTGCTGTATACTGAATGGACCCATTAAAAACTCTCCACAGGGACTGGAAATGAGGCTTAGTGGTAGAGTGTTTACCTAGCACTCATGAAGCCCTGGTTTCAATTCCTCAGTACCACATAAATAGAAAAGGCCAGAAGTGGCACTGTGACTCAAGTGGTAAAGTGCTAGCCATGAGCAAAAGAAGCTCAGGGACAGTGCCCAGACCCTAAGTTCAAAAAACAAAACAAAACTCTCCACAGCTACTCACATATATATATATATATATATATATATATATATATATATATATATACACACAAATATATATGTACATATATGCAGTGGAGGCTAGATGTATTTTAATCTGTCAATATCCTTCAGAAGGATCAGATTCAGAAAGGTAGGAAAAATTAACTTTTTGTTATGAGTATTGTGTTTCATTTTCATAACCAATAAACAAAAGCAAATACATAGAAGGAAAACTGGATTTAGAATGCACAAGCAAGTGATGAGAACAGAAGCAGGGCAGCAAGCACCTGAAGAAACAGAACATGCATGAACTAGGGATGAGGTGGTGGGCTTTGACTGAGAAACAGAACTAGGTAAGAAGCTCTCCAAAATGACTTCGCTCACACGCAGTTATGCCCTATGGAAGTAATAGTTTTACTTATCTTTACCATATTAGAAGGAAAATCCAGGTATGTATAACAAGAGCCAAGTATATAAATGTATAGGTGACAATTCTATACATTAGTTGGAGTTCCTGGTAACCTGAAAGCACCTTAAAAGACTAAGAGAAAGAAGGGATTCCTCAGTATAAGACAGGTAAGAAGAGGTAGTGTCCATTCAAAACCATCAAGAATTTCCAGTGCAAAGTAAAAAGCTCCTGCTGCAATTTGAGGAGGAAAGTGTCATAGTCCAACATAGTCAGTTCCCCCAGGTATTTGGCCAAAGTGTGCTGCTCAACTTCCTCATTTGATGCTCTATAAGGGAGGTGCATAGGTCCAGGGTGTCCCCAACCAAAGTTCAAAGCTCTTAGACTTTTCATCTATCTGGTTTGATGCTGATTTTTAATCCTGTGTGAACTGTGATGTGTTAAGAACTGACTTGTAGGTGAAAACTTTCCATTTGTTACATTCATAAGGTTTCTTTCCTGTGCCTGTTCTCTCATGAACATTGAGGTTTGACTTGGAGTGGAAAGAATGTAACATTTGTTACATTCTTAAGACTTGTCTACTGTGTGTATTTTGTTATGCCTGTAGAGATTTGACCTCCATCTGAAATATTTTCCACATGTGTTACTCTCATAAGGATCCTCTCCTGTGTATGTTGTCTGATGCCAGTTGAGAATTGACTTCTTGAAGCACTTTCCACATACATTACATTCATATGGTTTCTGAGCTGTGTGTGTTCTCTGGTGCGCATTGAGGGTTGACTTGTGGGTGAAAGACTTTCCACGTGTGTTATATTCATATGGTTTCTCCTGTGTGTCCTCTGACGTGTACTGAGATTTGAGTTCTTAGTGAAAGACTTTCCATACACATGACATTCCTCCCCCAAGTGTGCTCTCTGATGTTCATTGAGGATTGACTTCTTGATGAAAGATTTTCCACATGTGTTACATTCATATGGCCTCTCCTTTGAATGTATTCTCTGATGCTTCTTGAGGTTTGAATTGGAGGCAAAAGAATGTCCACATTTATTACATTCATATGGTTTCTCTCCTGTGTGTGTTCGCTGATGTTTGCAGAGATCTGACTTGCGGTTAAAAGACTTTCCACATGTGTTACATTCATATGGTTTTTCTCCCGTGTGTGTTTTCTGATGCCCATGCAAGGCTGAATTGTGGTTGAATGACTTGCCACATTTGTGACATTCATAAGGTTTCTCTCCTGTGTGTGTTCTCTGATGTTTACGAAGATCTGTCATCCATCTGAAAGACTTTCCACATGTGTTACATTCATATGGCTTCTCCGCTGTGTGTGTTCTCTGATGGTTATTGAGATTTGACTTGCAGGCAAAAGACTTTCCACATTTATTACATTCATAAGGTTTCTCTCCTGTGTGTGTTCTCAGATGAAAAATGAGGTTTGAGTTCTGGGTAAAAGACTTTCCACATGTGTTACATTCATAGGGCTTCTCCCCTGTGTGTGTCCTCTGATGTACATGCAAGGCTGAATTGTGGTTGAAAGACTTGCCACATTTGTGACATCCGTAAGGTTTCTCCCCTGTGTGTGTTCTGTGATGTTTGTGGAGACCTGACTTGCAGTTTAATGACTCCCCACATGTGTTACATTCATATGGTTTCTCTCCTATGTGTGTGCCCTCATGTGCATGCAAGGCTGAATTGTGATTGAATGACTTGCCACATTTGTGACATCCATAAGGTTTCTCTCCTGTGTGTGTTCTCTGATGTTTGTAGAGATCTGACATCCGTCTGAAAGACTTTCCACATGTGTCACATTCATAGGGCTTCTCCGCTGTGTGTGTTCTCTGATGGTTATTGAGGTTTGCCTTGCATGCAAAAGACTTTCCACATGTGTTGCATTCATATGGTTTCTCTCCTGTGTGTGTTCTCTGATGAACATTGAGGTTTGAGTTCTGGGTAAAAGACTTTCCACATGTGTTACATTCATAGGGCTTCTCCCCTGTGTGTGTCCTCTGATGTACATGCAAGGCTGAATTGTGGTTGAAAGACTTGCCACATTTGTGACATCCGTAAGGTTTCTCCCCTGTGTGTGTTCTGTGATGTTTGCGGAGACCTGACTTGCAGTTGAAAGACTTTCCACATGTGTTACATTCATATGGTTTCTCTCCTGTGTGTGTTCTCAGATGAAAATTGAGGTTTGAGTTCTGGGCGAAAGACTTTCCACATGTGTTACATACATATGGCTTCTCCCCTGTGTGTGTTCTCTGATGTACATGCAAGGCTGAATTGTGGTTGAAAGACTTGCCACATTTGTTACATTCATAAGATTTCTCTCTTCTATGTATATTCTGATGGATGCGGAGATGTGACATTTGTCTGAAAGACTTTCCACATGTGTTACACTCATATGGTTTCTCTCCTGTGTGTGTCCGCTGATGGATGTGGAGAGTTGACATGTGTCCAAAAGTCTTTCTACATGTGATACATTCATATGGTTTCTCCCCAATATGTTCTCTGATGCACACTGAGCTGTGACTACCATTTGAAAGACTTTGCACATGGGTTATATTCCTATGATTTCTCTCCTGTGTGTCTTCTCTGATACACACTGAGGTATGAGTTTTGCTTGAAAGACTTTCTATATGTTTTACATTTATGTGATTTGTCTCCTGTATGAGTTTGCTGAGGCCTACTGGGATCTGACTTGCGGTAATTACATTCATTACATTCATAGGGTATCTCTCTTGTGTGAGTTTCTTGGTGTACAGTAAGGTCTGGTTTGTAGTAAAAAGATTTGTTCCATTTTTTATACCTAAAAACCTTACTCTTTCCTCCACTGTGTTGCTACTGGTGATGACAACTTGCAACAGATGTTTGTCTGGACTTTCCTGGCATATTTCAACCGAGCCATCTACTTGCTGGACATCTAAAATGTTTAACAAAAAGGCAGAAAAGAAATCATGATGGCATCCAAACATTCTTAGAGAATATTCATCTAAAGGTAAAGACATTTTCTCCCATCCTACTTACTAAAGATTCAAACATAATAGTACTAGGAGTGGATTATGAGACCTGTACTTAACAAATACTGATGGAGTTAGGGTCTTCTCTGGTTTTTTTAGTCCCTGTTTTTAATCAGAGAAACTAGTCAAAATACTCAATAACTGACTGCTAATGCTTCCAAACTAAGTACATCTAATCTGCCACTTATTTTCCTTCCTTTAGTTTGCTTCAATTTTGTTTTGTTTTAGGGAAGACTTTTGTTTTGTTTTGTTTGGCAATGATTATGGAAATTTTGTGCTACTTTCCTTCAGAAACTTAGATTTGAAGATAGAAGTGTGTTCCATGATCAGAGAACCTAAGGATGTATGAAAGGGTAAATTACCTGTCACCTAAGGTGGTTCCTGAGAATGAGGATTTATGCCTATGTTTGACAAACTCTCACTTCTCCCTGAAAATTCCACTTGGCATCTATGGGGATTTTCAAGTTGCTTATTCTCTATGTTCTATACAATGTCTTTCAAATTCCTATTTTGATACAGTTGCCTACCAGAACCATGGCCCATGGGGGAGATACCAGGCCCCCAAACTCAGTCATATTATCTCCACTGAAAGCTTTGGTTCTGAATCCCAGGTTTGTGTTCCACCTTTGAGAATCTTCGTTCTACTTTATCTGAGGCCTGCAAATCTGCTGTCCTCCATAACTCCTGGTACTTTCTGGCTTCTGGGTCAACAGAAAATTGGTTTCCTTTTTTTGTTTTAGAATGTTTTCTAAAAAGATATAGGAGAAATGCTAACCTTAAATACTCCCACACAAAATTCAGGATGCTCACCATTAACTGTTCATTCACTTGGACGTGAATTAACTACTCAGCCATACCTGATGTGTGGACTCTAAGACACTATGGGAACTATAAGTACTTGGAGAATGACTGGTGCTAACAGAAAACTGATGGTTTTATGAATCCTTATCCTCTGCTTAAGTAAAGATAGGATTGTGGGTGTCTAATCTTCTGCAATAATCCTGGTAAAGACAGGAAAAGTGCCTTACTGCACTTATCTTACTGCCTTCTTATATCATGCTTTTTAATACTTAGAATATGCCCTTTTGATCAGTTCCTGTAATTCCCTTAAGCTAGGCCTGGTAAAATCTCATCATATTAAAGCAGAAAAAGTAGATACATGTTCTATTAATTCATGACTGTCAGTTAAATTCATTCCTCCTCTCAGCGTTATTAAAAGACTATGGAGGGCCTGGGAAGGTGGCTCAGTGGTAGAGTGCTTGCCTCACATGCATGAGGCCCTGAGTTCGATTACTCAGCACCACATAAGCAGAAAAAAGCTGGAAGTGGTGCTGTGGCGTAAGAGGTAGAGCCCTAGCCTTGAGCTGAAGAGCTTAGGACCAGTGCCCAGGCCCAGAGTTCAGGTCCCATGACTGACATAAATAAATAAATAAATATGGAATGATATTGCACAGGCATAACTTCATCTATTAGCCAAGTTCCTGCAACATAGGAATCCAGGAGCTGAGACTTGAATGAGAACATCTCAATGAGCTCTGGTCTTTTTAACATCCATGTCCAGTAAATGCTGACTCACCTGTGATATTCTTGTCTAGGGCTTCTCTGGGCCATGGCTCTGCCCCTTGCTCCAGATTAACAATCACTTCAGGTTTAGGAATGCAGTACCCTGTTAAAGGGAAATATTAGAGAACTATGTCCTGGTGTAATGATCTTAGACAACCTGGTAGAGAAGGCTTCTCCTAAAGCTATTCTCTCATTTCTATAGATGACCTTCTCCAATTACTGATTTCCAGATTCATGACTCCAATAGTGATGTATACTTTAGTAGATGAATATATATCAACTTTATATTATATGCCAAATTTGGAAAAGCATCACATTAAAATTAAATTAACCCTAGTAAATATTATCTCTCATTCTTTTCTGTCTCAACCAATTAAAACTTTTTTTGTGGACCTAATCTCACAACTAAACATATTTGCTTTTTGTTCTTCATCTCAAAATCGTATAAGTTCTTTCAAAGGAAATATTTACATTGTTATCTATATGGTCACAAAACACCAGCATATATGATTTATTCAACGAACAAGCTTTGAAGGAATTTATGAATTATTAATAAATGCTTAGGAAAAAGATTTTAGGAATGGGCAGTCAAAAAGCAACTGAAAATATAGAAAAACCAACCAAGAAGAAAGTCTAAGAGCCAGAAAGTGCCTGGAGTCCAAGTTAGACTTAAACAAACAAAAATGGGAGGTTCATTTATACATGAGGCACCAATGAAGACTGCAGAAGGCAGATGTGCAATGCATGACAGGAGCTGTCCTCAGGTGTGGAGGTGTGGAAGCAGTTGAGAACAGCTCAACACAGCCACACTGGCTGTGGTCTCCACAACCTCTCTATCCACAATGCACTACACCACCTGAGAAGCCCCGTTCTGTGGGTACTTCTCTCATACATTACTCTGCTCTTCACTCCAGCTTCATAATTAAATCAGATTTGGGGATGTAGTGTTGTATTATTGGGCAATAGTATAGAATGTTCACCAAATTATTCACTCAACACCTTGAAGAAGGACAAGAGGATGGCTTCAGGAGTTGTGCAACCAAATTGAACTTTGTGTTATGGGGGAGGGGGAGGAAGTGATAGTCCTCAAAGGCTACAATAGTACATCTATATAACATTAAATCTTATACATATTCATGTATCTATTAAGAACAAGGCACTTGCTCCTGGGTTTAATGTAACCTTTGCTCACCCAAGGATACCACGTTGCTATAGGTCTCCAGCATCACATCCCTATACAGTGTCTTCTGAATATCATCTAGGTCCTTCCACTCCTCCCAGCTGAAGTGCACAGACACATCCTCAAAAGATACCAACCCCTGTAATGGTACATTTCAAAAAGTCATTAGTCCTGAGTCATGAGAAAACCAAATACGAGGATTTCATTCCTCTACATGAATGCTTCTGTCTTACATAAAATGGTTGGAGCTTGCTCTGTTATCAAGGCAGTTTGGGAAGCAAATGAAAATAGAAATATGTCCCTCTATACTAACTTATTAATTACTAAAAGTTTCCCTTATCAATCAGGTAATGCTTTTGCTGTTAGCAAGGGAAACAAGGTAAAACTTCTCTTCTAAGGAGCTAATGATCTGTACTAACAGCACCAGTTATAAATATGTGCCTAGAATCAAGGCAATCCAGACCTCAGTGAGGAAATCACAAGGGCTACCCACCACATTAGCAGATCTACAAAAAAGTGGGGTTTTTTGTTGTTGTTGTTGTTTTTTGCGGGGGGGGTCCAGTCGTGGGGCCTGAACTCGTGTGGGCTTGGGCGCTGTCCCTCAGCTCTTCAGCTCAAGGCTAGTGCTCTACCACTTGAGCCATAGCGCCACTTCCAGCTTTTTTCTTTTTGCTTATGTGGTGCTGAGGAATCGAACCCAGGGCCTCAGGCATGCAAGGCAAGCGCTCTACCAAGCCACCTTCCCAGCCCCACACATGTAAGGCTCTACCACTTGAGCCATAGCGCCACTTCCAGCTTTTTTCTTTTTGCTTATGTGGTGCTGAGGAATCGAACCCAGGGCCTCAGGCATGCAAGGCAAGCGCTCTACCACTGAGCCACCTTCCCAGCCCCACACATGTAAGTGTTAAAAGAAGTGACAGTACACAAGAAACTGATTCATAATGATTTGAGACAGGTAAGATTTTACTTGATTCTCACAATAAAAGTTTCATGTGCTCATAAAGGTGTTTTTAGGGCCCCTTGTACTCCATTCCTAAATACTAAAGAACTGGTAGCATTAACTATTATAACACCATCCACCTTCTACTATACAGATCATAAATGAGAGATAAATAAAATGTGTCTTGACCAGATTTGCATTTTATAGTGCCTGATGGAAGGATGAAAGGGATATGGAGAGAGAAATAGGAGACAGAATTAAGAAAGCAGTGTGACAAATGACAACCCCAGCAGGACAAAGAAAAATAAGAATAAAGATTTAAAGAATGTGGAAGAAAATAAAATGAGGTGAGGGTTTTATTCCCATGCTGAGTACCACTAAAAACAAAACAAAACAAAAACATGTCCAACCATCTTTCTACTGTTGCTAGACTTAACAATACCAGAAATGAATGCTGATTCCCCAGCACACAAAAAGGAAATTTGCCTTCAAAGGGTGCAAAGACAATAACCTTCAATTCAAAATCTGCTGTCCAGAGGAACCATTCTAATACTGTGGAATGATTAAATAATTCACCAGCAGCACACCTGCATTACCAGAGTGCTACGTGAAGGTGTCCAGCTTAGAGAATGACAATAGGCGCTAGCTTAGATGTACTGCTGAGAGCAGGATCACAGAAATAGTAAATTGGTAGATAAGCATAAAAGAACACCCCTGCGTGCGCGAGTGCACGCACACGTATGCACACACACACACACTCATGCACACACGCACATACACATAAACACACATTTGTTTCATGTAATTTTAATTTTTAATTTTTTTTTCAGTTGTGGGGCTTGAACTCTGGGCCTGGGTGCTGTGCCTCAGCTCTCCAGCTCAAGATGCTAGAGCTCTACCACTTGAGCCACAGCACCACTTCTGGTTTTTTGGTGGCTAATTGGAGATAAGAGTCTCACAGACTTTCCTGCCCAGGCTGGCTATGAACTGCAACCCTCAGATCTCAGCCTCCTGAGTTGCTAGGATTACAACAGGCATAAGCCACCTGTGCCTGGCTTCATGTAATTTTTTAAATGATGGCTTAAAGCAAAAATTTAAATAACATATAGATGTTTCATATGAATGAAGACTCAATATGTACATACATGTATTGAAAACAAAAGTACATGAACTAGGGATAACAAATCAACGATCCAATTGCTACTGCACTTGCCCCGCAAATATTATTCTCTAAGTTCAAAGGCACAGTACCACCGTTTTTTGTTTTTGTTTTTTTTTTTGTCAGTCATGGGTCTTGAACTCTGGGCCTGGGTGCTGTCCCTCAGCTCTTCAGCTCAAGGCTAGTATTCTACCACTTGATACAGTGCCATTTCCAGTTTTTCTAGTAGTTTATTCAAGGTAAGAGTTTCATGGACTTTCCTGCCTAGGCTGGCTTTGAACAGTGATCCTCAGATCTCAGCCTCTGAGAGGCTAGGACTACAGGCTTAAGCCACTGGCGCCTGGCAATAACACCATTTTTTTTAATGCATAAAGGATCTAGCTTCTATATATTAGGATGCAGCATGGCAGTACTCTAAGTATATTTAGTTTCCTATGACTGCCAAAACAGATTGGGAAAGAAAGACAGTTCTTGTAGTTCTAGAAATGAGACCTCAAGAACAGGTTTAGCTTCTTCTGAGTCTCCATGCTTCAGCTTGAGGATGAACTTCTAATCGATGTAAAATCCCTGGTTTCTCATTCATGAGGAAAATACACTACCACACTTGATTAGTGCTCATAAATGATAACCTTGGCAAAAAATAAATACAGTAGGCCTTGCATATTTGTGAGTCCCACAGATTCAACCAACTCATGATCTTAAATTCTGGAAACATATGGTTCCTGTACTGAACATGTACAGACATAAAAATTGTGATAATGCCCTGAAAAATGTTGAATTACAATTGTTTACATTGCATTAATTTGTACTAGGTGTCAGAGGTAATTCAGTGGTGGTTCAAAGTGTATAGATGGATATGTGCTGGTTATATGGAATCACAATACAGTTTTATGTAAGGAACCTGAACATCTACTTTAGTATCTGAAAGGGTTTCTGGAACCATCACTGTGGATACCCCAAGGTGACTATGCTAGAAAATTTGGTTAATACCCCCTAAGAACATAGGATGTAAGAAATAAATATCAGATGAGGAAAGGAGAAAAGAAGTACCAAAATAGTAGACATAAATAAAATCACCTTAGTATTTTAATGTAAATGGAGTAAAAACATAGGCACTGTTTGACCTGACACCTCCCCACACACAAAAAAGAACTCAATAATATATTACCACAAAAGCATTAAAGAAAGTGAACCAAGCAACTCAAGGGTGGCAATGAAAGAGAAAGAGGAAACAGCTGGCACTAAGAAAAAAAAAGAAATGTACAAATCATCCAATTCAGCAGAAATAATTTTATTTTTAAAGTCTGTGAAGTTCAAAAACTTTGTAGATCAAGATAATGACCATTAGCATTGTGAAGGTTAAAATGTGTGTATCACTATGCCACAATACTGTAAAATTTATGTAATTACTTAATCTCAATAACAAGAAAAAATGAGCACAGATATAAATAAATATTCATCCCTAAAAAAAAAGACATTATGCTCTAAACTGATCAAAACATGTTAGTTTTACCCTAATTATCCAAAAATAAGCACCCTTGCTTAGAAGTTTTCATTTTTTTTAACCTCTCAGGTCCTCTCTAATTACGTCCACATTTTATGGAATTTGAATGTTATTATTTTGAGTATTATTATTGAATATTATTATGACAACTAAGAAGAAATTTTGCCATCAGAAGTTGTTCAAAATACAATGTGACCCTTAGCACTGGGTTTCCCGAAGTTGGCTGAGATCATAACAAAGATTCTTTGTGCTTCCCACTTCAATGGATCAAAGTATTTTGGACTGAGTTTTCTGCTTACATCAGGAAAGAAGTATCTGCTTTTCATCTCTAAGCATGGTTGACTGTATTTTATAGTAATGGTACATTGAAGAAAAGGATGTTTTAAGCAATAAAACCTAATTACTTTCCATGGATGAGGAAGGAACTGGGCCTTCAGTGAAATAAGCTCTGAGTCTGACTTAAGGGACATAAGCTTCAAGTTCATATACTAAGATACAAGCAATTGGCAAGGTTGAACTATAGCAGCTATTTGTGCCCTGATGAATGATAAAACTCTAAAGTTTATCAGGAAAAGTATAAAGATCAGGCCCATGGTTGCTTTAGGAGAGGAAATGGTTTGGGATGAGCTCATAAAACAGGTACTAATCTCATAAAAACTGATTAAAATATATATCTATAAAAAGTATACCCTAAAGAATAAAGAGGCCATAGTAAAAACCAGTACTGAAAAGCTGAAATAGAACTAGTGTAAGAGGAAATAAATAACATATAAATAAATAACACAAAGTGTATGAGCACACATAGAGACATAGTAACAGACAGGCCATACATCAGAATAATACAAGTTAAATGCTTAAACACAAAGTCTCCCAAAACATGGAAGCAAAGCCACAGAATTAAAAAGAGATTCTTGTTAAACCAAACATTACAATTCTATAATACTTTTCTTCATTTCCAATCGAATAGCTAGAAAAAAAATGCAGCAGGAACACACACAGAGAGGTGACATTATCTTGACCTCACTGCTGTTCATCAAGCATTATGTGTTACATTTACCAAGACACATTGAAAGTGAAAATGGATCTCTAGGCAAAACTTAATGAGTACATTTTCTGACCAAAGGGGAAGTACAAATCAACCAGGAAAACCATAATTTGTAAATACACTATAATCAAATAATCAAATAAATGTTTCTAATAATCTAAGATGCAAAAACCTTACAGAGAAATTAGAATAGGTCTGGGACAAAATGTATTGTAATATTGGCATTTATTGTTTATTCATGATGGCCACAAACTCAATTTTCCCACCTTTGGGTGAAAACAAATTCCTCCTTAGAGGTGGGCTGAATTTAATGATTTGCTTGATAAGAAATGGACTCATTACTTTGCTCATGTAACTGTAAACCCTTTGTACAGTATTTTCACAATAAAAATAATCACAATCAAAAAAAAAAAAGAACCTCGGGGAAGGGAGGGAGGGAGGAGATGGTAGGGGGAAAACAATGGAGGGGGTAACAATGTTCAAGAGGAAGTGTACTCATTACCTCACTCATGTAACTGTAACCCTCTGTATAGTATCTTTACAATAAAAAAATTTAAAAAAAAGATATATCAAAAAAAAAAAGAAAACCTATCACAGTCAGAAAAAGCAGTTACAATTATTAGAGGTGAAAGACAGCACTTGCTTTCAAACATGGACTATTAGAGTTTCAGGTGAATATACATTTCTACATGAGCCAGTAACAATAACCCTGTTTCATTGTAGTATCTAACTAATGAATCTTAAATGACCAATTAAAAAAAATAAACACCAGAATTCAGGCCTCTCATCCTACCTACTAAGGAGTCTGAAGTCTAAATGGCAGTTTGGGCAGACAACTCCAATTAACCAGCTAACAGACAGGTTGCAGGAATGGCTCAAGTGAAACAGCAAACTGACCAACTGTGGGGTCTCGGAGTTCAAACCCTGGAACTGGGAAAAGAAAGAAGCAAGCGTCAAGCATGGTGGGAGGCTGGCATGGTGGGAGGCTGAGGTGGAAGTATCATTTGAACATGTGAGTTGGAGAGCAATCAGGGAAACAGCAAGTCCCATCTGAGAAAAAGAGAGAAAAGAAAAGGATGGAAGTTGTGTAGGTACCAGAGGGAAGGGAAGGGAAACACAGTAAGAGGGAGAGAAAATTTCACGACATTAAATTTCACAATTACTTGGATATAACACCAAATGCCCATGGTACTAAAACCAGACAAGTTCAAATACATAAAATGAAAACATGGTGCAGGAAAGGCACAATGACAAAGGTATCCATGAAAATACTCACTAATCACTCTTCATAGATTAATAACCAGAATTCATAGAAGATTATAAAATAAAATTCTGTAACTCAAAAACAATGAAAACTGATTTAAGAATGGGCAGATGATGAAAGAGACCTTCCTACAGGAAATATATAGACAACTGGTTAATTAATATATAAAAAATGTTCAGTATTAGTAGTAACATAAAATCTTAAAGAAAAATAGCAATGAAATACCTAGTTTATACCCAGTAGTATGGATACATTAAAAATAAAAATTCCAAAATATGACAAATATGGGGAAAGGTGTAGAAAAGTATGACATTTGGTGGATTTCTAGGAGGAATGCAACATGATCCAAGATGCTAAAAAAAGAACTAAACATAGAAGTACACAGGAATATGGTTTAGCAGTTCTAGCTTTGTACCCAACTAAAAAGAAAGCAGGGGTTTCAACAGGAACCGGGAGAATCATTTTATAGCAACTACTCACAAGAATCAAAAGATAGAAGCAGTAGATAAGATTCAAAAAAAATTACTAAACACATAAAATATAACATAATTATCCTTTAAAAAGGAAAGAAATTCTAGTACATGCTACAGCATTTATGAATCTTAAATATAATCAGCTAAATAAAACAAATGAGTCAAAAACAGTCATGACAGGCTGGTGCATATCATGTGAGTACCTCACAGCTGTATTCCCAGCTACTCAGCAGCCTGAGATCTGAGGATTGTGATTTGAAGGGATCCAGGGCAGGAGAGTCCCTGACACTCTTATCTCCAAATAACTATCAAGAAAGATATAAGTGGAATTGTTTGGTAGAGTGCTAGTCTTGAGCAAAAGAAGCTCAATGATAGAGTTTAGTCCCTGGATTCAAGCAAAAGAACTGAACACACTCATGTTTCTCTCTCTCTCTCTCTCTCTCTCTCTCTCTCTCTGAGTCACACACACATACACACACGCACACACACACACACACACACACACACACAGAGAGTACACACAAAGAATAGCAAAATTTCCCTTACTGAGGTTTCCAGGGTCAACAAACTCATAGAGACAAAAAGCAGAATGATGGTTCTAAGAGACTGGGGTAGAGAGAAATGGGAACTATGTATTTCATGAATATATATATATATATATATAGCTTCATATAGGGAAGATGAATATAGATAATATAGATGGATGGAAGAGGAGATTGCACAACAAGAGTATGAGCATATGTAATTTGAATAAACTGTACATTTAAGAATGGTGAGGCTGGAGGCATGGCTCAGGTGGTAAAATTCAGCCAATGAGTGAAAGTGTCAGATATTGAGCTCAAGTCCAAGTCTCAGGCAACACTAAAATACAGCAATGGTTAATGTAGCCAGGCTTGGTAACAAACACCTAAAATCCAAGAATATGGGAGTTTGAGGAAAATTACTGACCAGCCTAGGCTATATATCAAGGTCAAGAAAAGCTTGGACTACACAGCAAACCTGTCTTCAAATTAACATTAAAAAATATTGTGACAAATACTAGATTACATGAGTTATATTAGAAATGTATGTGATGTATGTATCCATTTTCCTTACTGAATTTAAGTAATTAATGGAAATAAAGAAAAAGTATAACAAGTAATTTAGAAGAATTTGAAAGAAGGGCATCAGTGGCTCACATCTGTAATCGTGGCAAGTCAGGAGGCTAAGGGCTGAGAATGGCAGTGTGAATTCAGTCCAGATAGGACTGTCCATGTGACTCTTATCTCCAATTAACCAGCACAAAGTTGAACGTGGAGCCATGGCTCAAATGAGACAGTATTAGGGACAGTGCCCAGCCACGAGTTCAATCCATAGGACTGGCAGCATAAGAAGGAGAGAGAGAATTTCAAAAACATGTTAAGTCAGATTTAGCTGGAAATACAATGACATAATACAAACTTCAAATAGAATTACTAGTAAGTACACAGGAAAGATATGAAAATTATTAGACTCTCCCCATATTCTTTTTATTCTTTGTATCATTTTCAGACGGCAGTACAAATGTGTTCCACTAACTCCTCAATGCTTTCTCCCAATGGAGTCCTGAGGAGATGTTGCCACAACTGTTGGGTAAAAGCAGAGTTCCTGAGGGCGCAAACCTTATTACTGAATTAAATTTCCTTCAGGTTTGTAAAGAGTAATACTTCTAATGTAATAAACCAAGTCGCTCTATTGTTGACTAGAACCATCAACTCCTGTTCATATATATACAACAGTTGAAAATAGTAAACAAAAAAGCAGTGGGAGGCTACTTTAGAAAGGAACAGCAAAGATTTCTAGAAAGGCCATAGACAATGTCTTGAAATACAGCATTAAGTTTCAAGTAAGAACAGCACTAAAATGCAGTCATGGGACTTGACTATAAGTGACTAACAAGCTTTTGGAGGAAAATAATGCAATTCTATTCAGTTTGTTGTACTCCCTACAGAAAATACACACCAGCCAAGGGTTATGTATGGACAGTCATTTAAGTAAATGGCTAACTCAGACCTCTCTAACATGCAAACACTAATTCAGTAACTCTAGAAAAATGACACTGGGCTGGGAAGGTGGCTCAGTGGTAGAGTGCTTGCCTTGCATGCTTGAGGCCCTGGGTTCGATTCCACAGCACCACATAAGCAAAAAGAAAAAAGCCGGAAGTGGTGCTGTGGCTCAAGTGGTAGAGCACTAGCCTTGAGCTGAAGAGCTGAGGGACAGTGCCCAGGCCCAGAGTTCAGGCCCCACGACCAGACCCAAAAAAACAAAAACAAAACAAAACAGAAAAATGACACTGATACTTTAACATAATTAAGAAACTTAATATATGACTAATGAAGAAAAAATTTCAGACCAATGGCCAGCAAATCTTCATATTCCATAAAAAGTTAACATGCTTACCTCCTGGGTGTCATTGGATCATATAACAAGTATAAATACTCCCATAAGAAACACCAGAGAGGGCTGGGATGGTGGCTCAGTGGTAGAGCGCTTGCCTTGCATGCCTGAGGCCCTGGGTTCGATTCCTCAGCACCACATAAGAAAAAAGAAAAAAGCTGGAAGTG